TCTGGAACTCCCTCCCTGAATATCTGAGAGCTCCACAATCATTGACTGACTTTAAAAAAGGCTTAAAGACTTTTCTTTTTAAGCAAGCCTATTCTGCCTCCACATGATTGTATCATTGATTTTAGTTGATTGTATCATTGATTTTAGTTGATTTTATCACAGATTTTAGTTGATTTTATCACTGATTTTAGTTGATTTTATCATTGATTTTAGTTGCACTCTGTAGCACTTTGAGATTTTTGTTAATGAAAAGTGCGTTACAAATTAAATTCATTATTATTATTATTAAGGCGTTTTCTAGCATTCAGGGTTAGACAGGATTTGTTTCTGAAAAAGAAACCCAGTTTAACTTTCAGTTTCTTTATCAAGTTTTCCACATGAAGCTTAAAAGAGAGATGTGAGTCGACCAAGATACCCAAATATTTATAGGAATCAACAAACTCAATGGGGACACCATTTGAGGATAAAATCGGAGGAAGAACTGCTGGGACCAACTTCCTATTTGAAAAAAGCATCCCTTTGGTTTTGTCGGCATTTAGGACAAGTTTGAGGCAAAACAAATCAGTCTGGATGATGTTGAATGCAGATTTCAAAAGCTGGAAAGCCTTAGCAACAGTTTTAGCTCGACAATAAACAACTGTGTCATTAGCATAGAAATGTATGGATGCATTAGGGATGTTTTTACCTACATTATGTATGTAGATTGTAAAGAGGGTGGGTCCTAAGACTGAGCCTTGTGGTACACCATTGTTGACTGTTAAATAACTGGAGGAAGTACCATTATGTTGAACACATTGCCCATGGTCTGAAAGATAGTTAGAGAACCAACCAATGGTGTGATCTGAGAAACCAATTTCTGAGCGTTTATGACACAAGATGTTCTGATCCACAGTGTCAAAAGCTTTAGACAGGTCTAAGAAAAGTGCAGCACAATAATCCTTAGCATCCAGTGCTTCAACAACATCATTAAGAACCTTCAGTGAAGCAGTGGTTGTGCTGTGTTGTTTCCTGAAACCAGATTGATGTGGAGGTAAGATGTTAAATGAGTCCAGGTAATTTTTGATTTGAGAGTTTATCAGTTTTTCTAGAACCTTGGCTAAAATGCAGAGTTTAGAGATTGGTCGATAGTTGTTCAGTGAGGTGGGGTCACCTCCCTTCAGCAAAGGAAGAACAAAGGCTGTTTTCCAAGTGTCTGGGATGGAGTTTTGTCTTATGGAGAGATTGAAGATGTGGGTCACAGGGACTGTGATGATATGAGCAGCCAGCCTTAAGAAATAAGGTGGAAGTTCATCTGGACCTGCAGATTTTTTAGGGTCAAGATCTTTTAACAGTTTATTAACCTCACTGACTGAGAATGGCGAAAAAGAGAAGCTGTGATTAACTGAGGATTGACTTGTAGGAGGGATTTGATTTGTAGAAGTTTGGTTATTAAGTGAAGTGGCTGATCTTCCATTAGTAACTGTGTCAAATAAAGAACCAGAAGCAACAAAATGTTTGTTGAAACAGTTCAGGATCTCGTGATTATTTGACACAGGAACAGAGTTAACGAGAAGTTGTGATGGGAGGTCAGATGATTGGGGGTTGCCTGAGAGAGACTTGATGGTTTTCCAGAATCTGTTAGGGTCATTTAGATTTTTGGAGGTCTGAGATAAGAAATAGTTGCATTTTGCTGCTTTAACAGCAGTTGTGCATTTATTCCTCAGCTGTCGAAAACACAACCAATCAGTGTCTGAGTCAGATTTTCTTGCTGCGGCCCAAAGATGATCTCTCCTGTGCAGGAGGTCAGCTAGCTCTGGAGTAAACCAGGGGCTGTCTCGTCCCTTTATTCTGAACTGACGAAAAGGAGCATGTATGTTCAGGAAATAAATGAAATTATTATGGAAATAGTTCCAAGCGGAGTTCACGTCATCAGTTAACAGAATACGATGCCAGTCAAAGTGAGA